ATAAAATGTCAGAAGCTGCTCCAAACTTGGAAGAGAGTGTGACAGTTCATCAAGACAGAAATGATATTCAGTACTTATTGTAAGTTATATGATGAGAAAGTAAGTGCTTTTCAAACTATTCTTGATAAGTGTTTTACAAAGAAAGGGAACATTTTAATGCTCAGTGTTTCCAATATTTTAAACAATATACTAAGTAAATGAGTGTTACTCATTTTTTATTTCCCTAAATATTAATAGCCAAGAGTATGAGAGTTCTTATACTCTTGATAAGAGCATAAGCAAGTTTGATAAAAAATGATTGAAGGTCACAGAACAGTTTCAATTGTTTCCTTGCTTTACACCAGTCATTCCCTTGGTCTAAAGTGCCTTCCTTCCTCCCCCATTTCTTATACCTGGAGGTCTCACATGCATCTCCCTAAATTCAATGCAGATGTGAAGACTGCTCTGCATGCTTCAGACTTGCAGGGTCATGTTTTTACTCTTACATTCCTCCTGTCTAAAGGGAGAACTACACACCCAGACTTGAGGTCTATAAATCCATACAACCAGAAAATTGTGTGGATGACCTGTGGGGTAGGTTTGTATGGACCGATCTTTCAACATTTTTTTGAAACCATTTGCCTTCTCCTGGGAAGTAGCACAACATAGGAATGGGCATGCTGGACTACAGTATTTGGGGTTTGTATTCTGGTCTCAGCGTTGTGATTGAATTACCTGTAATCAAGTAATTTACCTCTCTGTTTTTCTTTCCTTCTCTGTAAAATGGACTGAGGATAAATAGTTTTAAGGTTTCTTTGTGCACTAAATTTCCACAATTCTCTACCATTATTAAAGAGAGAAATGTGTATAATACCTCCCCACGACTACCTGTTAGGAACAGTAAATGTTTATTGAGTGAATAAATGATTAACATGACTAGTGAGATAGGGCTATGCAGGAAATGTTAGATTCCAGTGAGACATAGCTGTTTATTTTAGTTTTCTCATGTTGCCATTGTGTGTGAAACCACAGCTACTCCAGTATCTTAGATGCACTACTGTGTGCCTTCAGCTTGGTTGACCGTCATGGAGCACAATGCTGGTCTATAGGTGAGAAAAACTTAATTCCTGACGTGGAGGATCTCACAGTGTCCTGTGGAGGGACATGAGAAGGTTTTGAAAGATGCATGGGAGACAGCCCATGCTAGAGAAATGGGGAGGAGGGCATTTTAGGAAGAGAAATGGCTCATGTGAAGGTGTGGATGCACAAAAGATATGAACATGTGCATGGAGACTGGAGTGACAGAAAACACTATATTTACAGCAGGAATGTTTGTTTTGTTGTTTTTGTGGTACTGGGAATTGAACCCAGGGGTGCTCTGCCACTGAGCTACCTTCCCAGCCTTTTTATTTTTTGAGACAGGGTCTCCCTAAGTTGCTGAGGTTGCTTTRAAAGTTGTGATCCTTCTGCCTCAGTGTCTTGAGTAGCTGGAATCACAGGTGTACATACTGCACCATGCACAGGAAGATTTTAATACAGGGAATTGGTGCTTACACTGTGTCTTAAGGAAAGTAAGTGGAAGTCAAGGGATTGCTGAATGATGTCACTATTGCTATTGCCTAGTGKTTGGGGGGGTGCTGTTTCCTCCCAATAGTTGGGGACAGTATGGGACTACTGCTGATATAGCTGGTACACAGTCTGGGATAGTAGCATAAAGTATGGCTGCTGAAAAAACTGAGCTGGATGAACTGCTTCTACTGTAGGAGGAAGAGCCTCAGTGTCCTTTACTACCAATTTCACATGAGCATATCTTCCTGAAAAAATCTCACCTAGAAGCTGGTAACAAGGGAATCTGGGGAATGTAGTTGCCAGGCTTCCAATTMTGTGATAAAGAGAACTTAGGGGTTCAGTGGACAATAACTGGCATAGCTAGCAAGGCACATTGGATCCTGACTGTGAAGGGACTGGAAAGCCGGCCCAGAGTTAAGAGTATGGAATGGGATGCTGCTGAAAATTTAAAAGCAAGGTTGGCATGATTAAATTCATTTTATAAATTATTATTATAAATTATTGAATTCATTTTATAAGTTTTTATAAGCATCATGGAGCCCATTCTTCAGAACTAAAAAAACAAAACAAATTCCCCAATTTAAAAAAAGACAAGCTATATGACAGTAATTTATTGCATAGTTATTATGTAACTTGGAACCATGCAATGAAAAAGCATTTTAAMGAAAAATATTTAATAGTGACTCATCCATCTAATCAATAGTCTTCCCCCCAATTTTTTATTGGGTGCACATGTTGTGGCAGACATGGCAAATACAGATTTTATGAGGGCCTGGTTGGATATGTTGTAGCTGTTAATGGTTTTACCGAAAGGGTATGCAAAGAAAGCCAATAAGGAAATACAACCAACACTGCTTACTAAATGCATTGATTTTTATTGCTATATTATAAAGCTTGATATTTTTCTAAAAGAAAAAAAATTGGTTTACATGTAGTACAGTTACAAGTAGATAGCTATAGATAATATAGCCATTAGGAGAAAGAGCAGAGCTAAATAATATGAAAACAAAAGCAGTATAAGCAATAAAATTAATAACTACACAAATCTAGCAGTGCAATAAGACAAGCAGAAAGCAGCTTTACATTAAAAAAAGTTATTTAAATACAGAAATAGCACCTTACAAAAAGTAATTGAGTAATGTAAACTTGGTAGGTAGATTCAAGTATAAGTTATACCCCCAACTCTTGTACCARAATGAAAGGGTTTCACAAACCCTGGACAGTGTAGGGCACACACCCTCAGTGCTGACTCAAGGCTGCATTTTCTTAGCAGGATCACCAAAGATTATTTTTTTCTTTTACTGAATTATACACTGATAGACTCAAGATTGCCATTGCTTCTTCACTACCCAGAATATCCAACCAAGTCTAGCTCAGCAGCTTCTCTATCATCAGTCGCTCTGTAAGAAAGATTCATTTTCCTAACAGAAAAYACCACTGATTATTTGAGTGTACATATCATAAAGCACATTAAGTGGGTACTGAATACAGAAGTAATTTTTCTTGATTTTGTGCTGCTAAATGTTGTAAATGTCCCAAAGTTGTAACATTCTCATTTATGGATGTTTTCTTAACACCTCTCAAGAACCATGAATTCTCTGAGTTAATGAATAATATGACAAAAAAGTTAAGTAGAGAGCTTGCTGAGGAAAAAAACAGGTCTATGTTTTTAATCTAAACATAGAATCTTAGTGAAAATATTCTGTCAAAGTTTTTGAGATGATAGATTTAAATGTGGTATCCCACARAGACTCACATGCTGCATATCCTGTAGCCTACCTGAAAAATGCATAATTTTTATTTATCTTGATAAGGAACCCATCAGTACTAGTTCAGGGCAAACATTACCATGCAATTGATGATTAGAACCACATTTTAAATCTAAATCTAGAGAAAACTGCAAAAAAGGGAAAAAATCCTCTTGTAAACTTGAAGTTTAGTGTTCATAGAATTTGATATAAGTAGCAAATTTATTTAATCTGGCTACCTACCTCAAGTTTTTAAAAATCTTGGGGGCGGTAATAAGGCTAATAGTATTCTGTAGTTAATATAAAGCTACTTTACTCAGACTCCCAGAGTCTCTTAAATTAATATTTTTATTCTTTTATACAATATTTTATTGGGTCTAAAAATAAAAATTAGCCCTATATAAAGATTCTAAATCTAAGACAGAAACTCAGAGAAAAGAAAGGAAGAAAAGAAGGAAAAGCAGAGAAAAAAGGAAGGAAGTCTTTTACTCTGAAGAGACCAGAGTGAGGTAAATATCAATACAAACAAAAGAACTAGTTTGGTTTCTTAATGAACCCCTATAGTAATATGGTTTACAAAGGGATATTGCGTAGCAGTTTACAGTATTGTGTTTGTGCTGGAACAATAAACCCCTGCAAGTATATTATGACTATGGTTTGAATATTCTTGGAAATGGAACATAATGTGTCCATTTTCTCTCTTACCCTTCCAAACAGAAGAATCACCTATTGCCCTATAACAGTTTCTACACCATTATTATTCATAATTTGACCAAAAGGTTTCACCTGGGTCCCAATTTTCCACATAATTACTTTCTACCATCCTGATTCATTTTACAAATAGCAATTGTTAGAAGGAATCCATACCTGATACTCTACAGTTAACATTTAAATAAAAATGCAGGGCATGTACTGAAGGAAGTTGAGCACAGGAGAGTTTTTGAAATGAACAATAAAATCTCATTGTTTGCAGTTATCTGAGAAGCCATTGGGCTTCTAGTTCCCCTTAGTTCTCATGCCCACAGATAGGGTTAGCACAGTTCATTTATAGCCAGGTGTGTCATTCACAGTTATTTTGGTCTTGACATTTATCACGTATGTACATTTATCCACATTATTACTAGGTCGTAGAGTAAGTGCAGGGCAAATTATAGAAAAAAGTATAAACATTCAAGTCGTCATACCCTGAAATAAATGTGTTAAGCTGTAGTTGTAAACTTTTTGCACTAAATCCCATTTCAGGAACAAAATAAATAATACCATAGGATTCATAACTGAAGGCAGCTTCCTGATGAAGCTTAAGGAAGCAGTAGGTTTTTATAAACTGCAAAGTTCTCTCACCACAGATTTACTCATGTAAAGAATGCTCACCCTGGTTAAGTGCTGGACAGCCCTCCTTCAGAAAGCCGCAAGGCTCCAGTAGCCTAATAGATCTGACTGCAGCAATCAGAGGATTTGAATCACAACCACGCCAGTCTATCAGTGCTTTCACTGTGACACCACGCAGAGCCTGAACTCCAGCTGGTACTGAACGCACAGTTAATAATTAATAGATGCCACATGATGTTGGGAAGTTAGCAGAACCAGTGGGTGAGAGGACCAAGGACACGAACTGAGGGTGGGATGGTTCGTGTTCCACTTAGGACATCTCCTGTGACACAGAGATTCAAGGGGTCGGATCCCACCCACTTCCAAGGTGTCAGGTTAGTCAGGCCCACCACTCGGGATTTCTAGTCTCCTCTGGGCTGAGCTCGTGTTTCGTGACTGATTTCTTTCTCTTCTCCTGAGGACAGGGTCTCCAAGGCTTCCAGGTGTCTTGAAAAATGTTTCASGATGTGTGCGTCGGGTACTCTTGGGGGTCACTGGAGCAGGTGACTGAATAAAAAGAGCAAAATCAGAAGTGAAATCAATCTAACAGTCTCTAGGCTGGGAGCCCTTTCCTGACCTGTGTCATGGCCCTGTGCAGGTATCCCCTCCTGTGCTTTCCTATCACACGCTTCCAACTTGTGTTTTTCACAATCCTGGCCACAACTGGACATTAGGCTGATGTTTACTTTGAGTGCAGAAAGGCGGCCTACCAAAAGGTTCCAAGTGTGGTCAGGGTCTAGAGCCAGGGTCTAGTCTCCCATCCCTAGGTGGGTGACTTTGGGCATCTGTCTCTCAGTTCAGTGCAATGAGGTTGATAAAACCACCAACTTCAGAGATCTGTAAGAATTAACTGAGATGAMGTTTGTAAAGAACACTGAAGTAGATAATAAGTGTACATGTGTGGTATTCATGTACTTGCTAACACTTATTATCATTCATGTGAAAATGTACCCTAAAAGGCAAAGAAGAAAAGCTTGTTTATWGCTATATCTTCACTGACTTGATCAGTGCCCAGCTTGTAACTGGTGATCAAAAAGGCCTGTTGGGCTGGGAACACAGCTCAGTAGTAGATGCTTACTCGGCATACGTGAGGTCCAAGGTTCAATCCCCAGCATTGGGGGAAAAAAGTTTAAGTCATGCTATAATCATCTTATTTAAAAACCAACATGATTATTTCAATACCTAGCAAGCTTCTGAGCCTTTAAATAACTTGTCTAAAATAATTTTGGTCAAATATTATTTTTATGCCAGGTGTAGTGGCGCACGCCTGTAATTCTAGTGGCTTGGGAGGCTAAGGTAGGAGGATGGCAAGTTCAAAGCCAACCTCAGCAAAGGCGAGGCACTGAACAACTCAGTGAGACTCTTTCTCTAAATAAAATACAAAATAGGGCTGAGGATGTGGCTCAGTGGTCAAGTGCCCCCGAGTTCAATCCCTGGTACCCTCCCCCAAAACCAAAACAAAACAAAACAAAACAACATTATTTTTTCTAGGAGAGTAAGTAATCACTCCAAAGAGATGTTTAATGACAACTACAAATGGCATTTGAGGGACAAATACAGTTCTGATGAACTTGTATGGATTATATATGTACAYTTTTAGAGTATTTATATGTACATAAGTAGATATCTAGATATCACATTCTTGAAGAAATGATTGATGTTAAGAATCATTCATTCAGCATTGGCTRGGTCTGTTTCTGCTCATCAAAGTGTCACCAACACTGATGACTACGCTTAGAGTAAGCACTTGGAGCTCAAGAAATGACAAGAGTTAGTATCAAGTCTGTTTCCCTGGATTGTTTCTATACCTGATCGATTAAAATTTAAGATGGTCTTCTTAAATGACCTAATGAAATAAAAGCCTGGAGATCACTGAAATCATCTAAGTATGTGGCATGCCTCAAAAATCTCCCCTAACTATGCCTAAATAGGTTCCTTCTAATTCTAGGATACAGAATGACAACTGAAAAAATTACTTTTGTCTTGAAAATATAGGATCTCCTACCTTATATCTCATTATATAATAAGCAGATAACTGTGGGTTCACAGTGGAAGCCAGTAACACCTCTGTCCTGTAGCCATGTGGCTAAATGAAAGCTAACTAAATGTAGACACCCCACCACAGTGACAGAACTGTCAGGCTTCACCTGTTGTACTGCTGAGACTGGATGACCCATGTACACAGGAGAGTCAGGTTGGATGAGGTGGTGTGACCTTGATATCACTGGACTCAGGTTCAGAGAGGGCTGACTCTGAACCTGAGGGTCTGCAGAAGGAAGCGTAGAGGACTTTGGATTGACCATGGCTGCAGGGCTGAGAAGAAGATGTGCTGTAGATCCAAGGCCAGGCAAGCTGAAATTCACAGGTCCCGTATTTGGGAGAGTGCCAGGAGCAGAAGAAATCGGGCTGGGCATCGTGGGAGAATACAGAACAGAAAAAGGGCCCAGAGTCGGAGATGGTAAGACCATACAAGGAACGCTGAAGGATGGCAGCTGACCTGAGGATGGTCCCATAGCATGGGGAGTTTGACTGCCAGATAAGAGCACATTGAAACCATTGATTCCTGAAACAAGAATAACAAAGGTCAACATGACATAAAGGTTCCACTCCTGCTGACATTCTTCATGGCCCTTTCAAATGGAAGTCCCTGATAAATCATCGAATGGTCAAATGCCTTCTCTTTGCTCTTCTAGCCCACATGGCTCCTTCACACTGGTGGCCAAGACTGTACCCCCACATTACTTGCATGACAATGCAGTTCATGCCTGTGGAAGGTTCTTAATGTGAGTACCACTGACTCAAGGGAGAAAGTGAAACTTGGATGGGAAAAAGCATATCTTTATTTTTATGAATTTCTAACTGAAAATTTATCTTTCCCTCGATGATCACAGGCAACAAATTACAACAGTATTTACAAAGATGTTCATATTTCTTTATAGTTATTGTGATGATTTTAACTCATCACAACTTTGAAAAAAATGGCAATTTTAGACTTGCTATCAGTTCTTTTTATTGCTACAAATAATTTCAAAAATTATTTTTCTTCTTTATTTTAATATAATTGGTTCTTTGTAATTCTATGTATTCAATTCTCTGCATTTGTAAACATTTTGAAGAGAATCCACAGATCTCTCCAGGCTATACAATGGTCTATGGCTGAGAAAAAGTACAAAATTCCTATGCTGGGATATAATTTTCATTCAGCATTGGCTGAGTCTGTTTCTGCTAATCAAAGTGTCACCAACACTGATGACTGTGCTTAAAGTAAACACTCAGAGCTCAAGAAACGACAAGTGGGTAATGGACTAATGCCTACCTAATCTGTTCTGGAAGGTCAGGTTTAAGCCACCAAGAAACCGAGAGAGTCAAGTCTCTGCATATACTTCTGTGCATGTAGAGACTAGCTTTATCGTACAAAGAACATATCTTAAAAATTAAGTTCCTATTGTAATTCAGCTTTAATTCAAAACAGTAACAGCATTTGACTAAGTCTTTCTAAGTACCAGGCACTATTATTTTAGATCCTTTAGACTTATTATTAAATCTAATTCAATTTTCACAGTACTCTTATGAAACAGGTGCTATTATTACTGGTGTTTTACAGATAATGATGGCTGAATACTTAAGTTCTCTCAGATTATAAGTGGTTTTAAATGTCAAGCCCTCCAGATCACAAAGTATTCAGGACTTCTGGATACTCAAGAGACAGAACCTAGCTGCACACAATGGCCAATAGGTTCACACTATTACTTTTAACCAATGCCAAAATTCTGAAAATAAAATCTTTTAMATTTGTTATGATTTTTAAACAAAAAAATTCTAATGAATTTTTTWAAAAAATCATTTGCCTTAACTGTTTTCCTGTTGTCCTGCTGTTGGTGAAGCAGAGCAGCCTCATCCTTCATTTTATACATGAAGAAAACAAGGAGGCTGAAAGTAAAATGGCAATAGGTAGCAGCCAAGTCAATGAACTTCTTTCTTTGGTCAGATGACACAGACAAAAATTTAAAAATTCAATTTATGATTCAAATCCCACAGGGACTCTTAAGACATGATGACATCTCTTACCAGCTGGAGACTGCACATAAAGACACTGCAGCAAAGAGGGCTCTTTGGTACTTTCATTTTCTTTTGAAGGCTTTTCAGTATCTATATTTTTTGAAGGATTTCTACACTCAGCAGAAGTGAAGCAGTTTGCTGAAGCCTTTCCTGAAACCTCYTCTGCAACAGGGAGTTGACTATTCACATGAGCATCTTCCAGGGGCATAGATCCCCTGTTTCCCGTTGACTTGGGAGACGCAAGGTCTGTGGAACCTGAGGATTTCTAAGCATAACCAAACCAGGAAGCAGAAAAGCAAGTCAAAATTCCAGTACTGTCTTATAATAGGTTTGTCAAAATACCTAATACAAAAACAAAAAAAGTACAACACAGCTGTGTGCCTCAATGACTGTGTATATTCTTTTCATATAGGAATAGCGTGAAGATGGATGTAATGCCATGTCTATCTATAGACTTATGACTCCTCAGTTAGAAATGATAAAGATTTTAGTAATGGAAATCTGGCCCTGATGTTTAGATTATGAAATAATTTTMTGAGCTGTTAACACAAAAAGGATGTTGATGCTGCAGTCTCATGTGGCCTTCTAAGAACTGTGGGCTGGCTCAAAGCCACATCAGTGGTCTAAGATGTGTTTGTCAGTCTTTCACTTTGGATCTGCAACCCCAAGCTATAAACAAAATTAGGAAAATTCATTCTGGCAAGAGTAGAAAAGAAAGGTTCATAATTAATGGAATGACTTCCATGCAGTGTGCCCAGCTGACTCCTGAAAACTGTTCTAAGGACAGTCCTTCTGCTTCATATTTTACTGGGCACATCTCATTAACCTCTGCATGGCTACTAAGTGGGGAATGTGGAAAGCTCATATTTTTGTTTTTTTATTCATTTTGTAGCTATGCAAATGGACTCACTGGGCAGTAAAGAGAACCAACCAAGTAAGGGCACAGCCAATCAGCTAGTACCCATGTTCCTGACTCTGAACTCAGCTGCATCCTGGACTGAGCTGATTATTGCAGGGATTCCAGCTTGATTTTTTTTTTTTTTTTTTTTTGTTAATCGCATATAAAAAGACTGGGAAGAAATATGCAAACAGGTTAGCAGTGATTGCACTATGGGTAAGTTAATGGATAGGTTGTTTTCTTCTTTCTTTCAGTACTATTTTGTGGCAAGATTTTTGGGGGAGCCAGTTCAGAGTTTAATTATTGATATAAGTGACACATGAAATATCTTTATATTCCAGATTCTATTGGCTATTAGTATCTGTGTGTCTACATTAAGAAGCTCAGGGATAATGGGAAATCACCAGACACATCCACCCATATTCCTTTACCTTGGGCATGACAAGGGATAAGGGGCTATCTTCAAATTCCTGACTTTGTCTTTTAGCAGCGGGCTCATCCTCTTGCAGCTTCCTCTCTACACAGAGGCGCTTCTGAGCTGAGGGTGTGAATGAAGGCTCTGATGCAGCAGGGACTTCTGAGCTTCTGCTGTCTATTTCTGATGCAGAATCAGGGGACAGTCCCTCTTGCAAGCTCCCATACAGCATGAACAGTGAGGTGGAGGGCACATACACCAGGGGCTGCCCGGCAATTAGAGCAGGCTTCAAGCTCTCCATGTCAGAGGTTGGGGAAGTAAGCGGGACACCAACTTTTCCATTGAGACCATTCTGCATGGAGAAAGCCTGCAAGTCTGTTTGAGCAACAGAAAATACTTGGTGGGCTAAAGGATTAACACAATAATCTGAGTCAACAGGAAGGACAGGGTCCAAGCTGCTTGCTGGAGGCACCACTCTCTTACTGGCAAAGGCTTTTGCCCTGTAATAAAAAGAAACATATAATGAGTACCATCAACTACCACATTCTACCAGCTCTTGACTCTTAAGAGAGCCCTGCAAATCAGGAGTGAGGTACTGCACAGGGTGGTGTTCAAATATACTCCCTGAGCTTACGTTAGCTTTTCCCAAGGCAGAAGAGCAGCACACTCTGCATGGATGGTTAGGGTTGGAGAGGGGGTGCTGAAGTGGGAAGAGCTGATAGGGACTCTCAGATGATACTTTCATGATTGGCACAGTATTGAACATTTTATACAATTATTAYAGTAGTAGCTACTCTTATTCTCCCCCAACCCCCACCCGTTTTAATAGTGAGGAAAACTGAAACTCAGAGGTTTAATCAACCTGCCTAAGGCAACTTAGCTCTAAAGTGGTGAAGATGTGCTTTATACCATGTTTGATGGCAAAAAGCTTGTGTTCTCAGTCACTCGAAGAGATCTTGGGCAGAGTTTGATTTAAAGAAAGAATTTGTCTCAAATTCAGTGTGAAACAAATGAAGTGGGTAGTAAGGAAATAAGACTATTTACTAAATGATTACTTTGTCATTCTCATTTCACTCTTCTCAGTATTACTACAGAATTCAAGACAGTATATGTCCAAAGTTAAGATCCATTAATTTATGAGCTTATAAGTGATGCTTCTGTCTCTAACATAAAAAACTCCAAATATTCAAAAGCATATTTGCATTGTTAATACATTTTTAGAAAGGGATGAGGGAGATTGTTCAAGAAATGGTAAACAAAAGATAGGGGTTTTTCTCCAGCCCTTCTGATGGAATTGCTAAGACCCACTTTGTCCACCTTCTTATCATCCATTTTATTGCTGGAAACAAAATGGAGCACTCAGGGCTACAGAGATGAGAACATCTCTTTAGCCATGGCCTCCCTAAGTGAGGAATCCATATTACTCAGTTGAGAAACTCAACTAGCCCACATGGAGGGTATCAACCACCAACCAATCCCAGCCAATTGCTTTAATCCCATCTCCACCAACATCACCACCACCTGCCCCCAGATGTTCTTTCTGTCATCTCTGTCTTTTGAACAAGTCTTGCTGACTCTGTCTTACACTGATTTCCCTTCCTTTCAATCTCTAGCTGACCTGGCTTAGATCTGCACCACAGCAGACAGGAACCAACACAAAGGCTTGTTCTGTGATCYGATCTCCTTCCAATCCCACCTACTCAAAGCAGCCAGAAGGTTCTTCTTTACTAAACCTGCAATAGTTCTTTACTATTTAGTGAATCCAAACTCTTCCACCTGGAGTTCAATGCTTCTTGCCAACCTGACCTATACMCAAGTTCTTCTTATGAATGGTGTTTCCTTTTACTATTCTATTTGGACAAATCATGACAGTGAAACTAATCAGATTTTGTCCCTCTGCTTCCTAACGTTGGCTCAGATAAGACCTGGGAATTAGTAGACAAAGTTAGCTATGGTGATCACAAAGTGATTTACGGGATGAAGATGCATCATTTCCCAGTGTCATGTTAGTATAGTGACTTGTTTTTTTGTTTTATGTTTTTTTTCCCCAGTATATTATCTTTTAATTTTGTTCCCTACATCCTATCATAGCTTAGGGGATGAATTTTTCACACTTTCATGTCCCAGATGCTATGTTTTGAAGTGTTGGGTACAGCAATTCTTTTTTTTTTTTTTAAACTATTTTTTAGCTGTAGTTGGTCACAATACCTTTATTTTATTTGTTGACTTTTATGTGGTGTCAAGGATCAAACGCAGGGCCTTATATGTGCTAGGCGAGCTCTCTACTGCTGAGCCCACTACAATCCCAGCCCCAGGGCACAGCAATTCTAATAAAAATGATGACTTAAATTTTATCTTTTGATGAGTAGCATTTCAATTTTGTCAAAAATTAATAGTACAAAATAGAAAGAATGCACTCTGAGTTTTTAAAGAGTACTTACTGTGAATTGTCTTCTATTTTCTGTCTGTAGACAGCTGCTAGACTTCCAATTTCTAAGGAATAGCCACCTGATCCTGAAAAGGAAAATGAAGATTTTACAATAAGGGATTTATGCATACTAACTACATAAAACAGAATTTATTACTCATAGTTCAAGAATTATAAGACTATCTCAAATATGTTCTGGTTTTGATTCAGAAGGAAGTTTCCAGAAGCTAGCTGTTAATGGTGAATTCAAATCTCATTAATAATTAGTAAGGAAATCAAACCAAATCAGTGCTATTTTGAATTTCTGAGATATATCGAATAGGTCTACTATGGCAAACCAATTGATCAAGGCTGACCAGATCTATTTTAGGCATGGGGAAATGTCCATATACTGTGAAGTCAGCATCTCCTTTGCTGCCAATAATTATTGTACCTCAGGCAAATGAAAAGCAGACTTCTGAAAAAACAGGCAAGATCTAGAGTCAGATCATTTTAGAATGCTAGCATGTGGGGAGGGCTACAATTACATGGCAACCGATGGATTCCATGGGTCATGTAGGGCAGATACCTTGTTCTCTGCACGGGCTGCTGGGTTCTGAGCTCACTTTCCTCTGTATCCTCTCAGAAGTCTGAACTGTGTTAAAGGAACCATAACGAGCCAGCCTCTGTTTTGCACATACTTGAATCTTGCCATATGTTTCTCTTTTTAATTCTGGTAAGACAGATGCAGAAACATCCACTAGTTCTTCATCTAAATAAATGAGAATTGGTAGTGTTATTATACAGCTATAATTCAGGATAAATTTAGTCCTTTGAAGAAATGGCTTTGAACCTATAATTGAAATGAAGTTACCCTATAAATCAAAAACTAAGACAATTAAAGGAATTTTATAAGCCTTGTCTCAAACCCCAACTTCTTTCAATGTACTCATTTTTTTTAAAGTTAGTGGATGACTATAAAGTAAGAATGAATCCATGTATATTCTAAAATTATCTGAACTGCAACAAAAGTAGAGCAAGATGTTCTTTAACCCAAATTAGAACAGGCCTGACATTTTAACRCTCTGTTGGGACAGAGAGTATCAAAGGAAAACCTGACCATGTTCAACCCAACATGCATATTTTCAGATTCACTTTCAAGATAATTGAGATCAGCTCTTATGCCAAAGCTCTAGGGCAATGAGTAGGAAAATCTTTGTTTTCTATTGTACTTTATTATTTCTTTCTTATGCAGCAGGAGGCTCAGTTACTAAGTGACCAAAGGAATAAGGTCAACAGATTTTGTGGTTGAAATGCTGCAGAACAGTGAGGATAATAGAAGCCATTTTGTGCTTAAAGGGTCAGGATAGAACTTCCTATGTAGACTCTGGCAGTTATTCCTATTTGTCCAGGTAGTCATTTCTTCCTTGCTTGTTTTTTCTAAGCTTAAAATATGCCTATTTTAATTATAAAACTGATTCAATACACTGAAAAGTACAGCAAGACTTACATTTTATAAAATGCCTACTTTCGTGTTAAAGCAACTTTAAAATTGAAACAAAAGAAACCTTATCATTTTGTTTTTAATATAACAAAAGCCCAATAAATGTTCCTTTTAGAAAGTCAAATCACAGAACCATAAAGAAGAAAATTAGATGAAGTCAGAAACAGGGACCATATTTGCCCTCCATCCTGAATTGAATAAAAACATTTGACAAAATATATAAACAATGGCTTTTAGGACACTGGACATCAGACAGTGACCCCTTAGGGACAGGTATAAGGTGAGTTCTATGACTGTCTTGAAGCCAGAGGAAAGACTGAGTACATTATGTGGAGACATTAAAGAAAAAAGTCTAAATCAAACATTTAGAGGTAAAATGCTGAAGATGAAAAATAGTGTATGAGACTAATGGTAGATTTAAGGGAAAAATGAAAAAAGAAAAGTGAACTTGAAGATATAGCAAGAGAATATGTGAAGAAATAATAACTGGAAATTTGCCAGATTTGAAGAAAACTTTAAACCTGTAGATCCAAGAAGCTCAACAAACCCAAGAACATGAAACACAAAGTACACCAAGTCACACATCATCAAATTGTTTAAAGTCAGTCATAGAGATAAATTTTAAAGCATTGACACATTATATACAGAAGAGGATGACAGCAGATTCTTTGTTAAATAATGCAAGCTAGCAGACAGTGGAGCAAGTTCTTTAAAATGCTGAAAAGAAAAACTTTTGGGCTGCGGAGGCAGCTCAGTGGTAGAGCAGTTGCCTACCATATGTGCCCTGGGTTCAATCCCAAGCACCATAAAAGAAAAAGAACAAAAACCAAACCAAACCCCAGCACCAGAAAAGAAAAAGAACAAAACAAAACCCTTTAACCTAGCATCCTTTATCCAGTGAAAATATATTTGAGATCTAAAGGTGAACTAAAGATGTTTTCAGACATACAGCAGTTGGAAGAATTCTTTACTGGCAAATCAGTACTACAAAATGTTTTTAAAAGTCCATCMAACAGAAGAAAAATGATACTAAATGGAAATCTACATCTACCAAAAGGTAAGATGTTTACCAGAAATGGTAGCTATAGGAAAAGATAAAATCGTTTTTATTAAAATAGTTTTAAAAGATGATCATCTATCTAAACTAAAAAACTGCATGGTGGGGTTTATAATATACATAGGAGTAAAATGTTTGACAATAATAGCATAAAGGACAGGCAGGAAAAATGAAAGGTGAGGTTCTTATACATGTTGTATAATATCACTTGAAAATAGACTGTGATAAATGTATACAATGAACCCTAAAGCAGCCATTAAAATAATACTAAAGAGTTACAGATGGGGCTYAGGTTGTGGTCAGCAGTAAAGTGCTCACCTAGCACAAACGAGGCCCTGGGTTCAATCCTCAGCACCACATATAAATAAATAAAATAAAGGTATTGTGTCCAACTACAACTAAAAAACAAATATTAAAAAAAAGAGTTACAGCTAATAAGCCAACAAAGAAGTTAAAATGGAGACCAAAAAAAAAATAATAATAATAATAATAAATCCAAATGAAAAACAAACAATGAGCAGATGGGACAAATTGAACACAAAAAGCAAGAAAACAGATTACAGATTAGGAATTGTATAACATGTGAACGGTCTAAATAATACAGAAAGCAGAAATTATCAGATTAGATTAAAAAATAAACAACAATACAGTGCCCACCAGAAACACCCTAAATGATATAAATTGCTTACAAGTAAAAGGWTGAAGAATATATACTATGCTAATGAATGGAAAGCTGAAGTGATTATCTTACTATCAGATAAAGTAAATCTTAGGGCACAAAATGTATCACCAGGAATAAAGAAGATTATTTCATAATAATAAAAGAATTCATCATGAAGTTATAGCAATCCCAAATTCATAGAGGCAGAACTTGATAGAACTGCAAGAATAGACAAATTTGCAATCACAGATCTCAATATCCATCTATCAATAATTGATAGAACAAGTAAAGAAATAATAAGTAAGGATATAAAAGAATTGGATAGTACTGTCAACTAATCTGATCTAGTTATCATTTATAGAATATTCCACCCAATAACAATATACATGCTTTGTAAGTGTACACAAAATATTTACCAAGATGGATTATGTGCCTCAAAAAATAAATCTCAATAAATTTAAAAGGATTCAAGCTATAAAAAGTATGTCTTCTAATCAAATGGAATGAAATCAATGAAAGATATTTGGGAAATTCCAGCACATTTAGAAACTAAAATGCATGTCTAAAAAACTTGTGAAACTGAAGAAATTAAAAAGAAATTTATTTGAAATTCAAAATGGAACCATATCAACTAAAGAAGTACTGAGTAGGAAACTTATATTACTAAAATGCCTCTTAGAAAAAAAAGATGTCAAGTTTAGAAGTTCAGCTTTTACCTTAAGAATCCAGAATAAGAAAGGAAATAATAAAGAAATTACCTGAATAGCCCTATAGCTATTAAAGAAAAGTAATCTATAGCTAAAAACCTTCTTAGATAGAAAACCCCAAATGGCTTCATTGATAAATTTTACCAAATATTAAAGAAAAAAAACACTAATTATATAAAAATTCTATTTGGGATGGACTACTTTACAAAACAATGTCAGAGGCCAATATTATCATGATACCAAATAGATGAGCAGACTAGGACAATAGTTGGGAGAGTCCAGAAATGGTACTTTACATATATGGCCAATTTATCTTCAATAAAGGTTCAAAAATGAATTACAGTAGAGGGGGTAGAGAGAGAAGAAGGGAGGGGAGGGGGGATAGTAGAGGATAGGAAAGGCAGCAGAATACAACAGACACTAGTATGGCAATATGTAAATCAATGGAAGTGTAACTGATGTGATTCTGCAATCTGTATACGGGGTAAAAATGGGAGTTCATAACCCACTTGAATCAAAGTGTGAAATATGATATGTCAAGAACTATGTAATGTTTTGAACAACCAACAATAAAAAAATAAATAAAAAAATAAAAATAAAAAAAATAAAGGTTCAAAGTTTGGAAGAGAAAGGACAATCTTTTTTTTTTTTTTTCCTTAAGAATTTAACCTTTATTTTATTTGTTGTTGTTGTTGTTTATGTGATGCCAAGGAATGAACCCAGGGCCTCACCAGTGCTAGACAAGTGCTCTACTGCTGAGCCACAACCCCAGCTCCAGTTGTCTTTTTTAATAAATGGCTGACACAAGTAGATGTTTGTTTTTGAAGAACCTCTACTGTTTTTCATAATGATTACTTTACTATCCCACCACTAGTTTATGAGAGTCCTTTCTCTACATCCTTGCCAACATTTGTCTTTTTGATAAGTCATTCTAATTGGAAATGACATTTCATTGTGGTTTTTGATTTACATTTCCCTGATAATCAGTGATACTGAACGTTTTTTGATATATTTATTRGCTATTTGTATATTCTCTTTTGAGAAATGCCTATTCAGGTTTTTCACAAATTTTAAAATTAGATTATGCTTTGCTGTTGAGTTCCTCATATATTCTGGAAATTAATCCTTTGCCAGATGAATAGTTTACAAGTTTTCTCCCATTCTATAGATTGTCTCTTTACCGTGGTTTCCTTTACAGAAGCCTCTTAGTTTGATGTAATCCCATTTGTCAGTAAAACTTGCTGACTGTGCTTTTAGTCAGCTTTTTCCGCTGCTATGATGAAAGGACCCGACCAGAACAATGCTAGAGGAGGAAAAATTTATTTAGGGGCTCATGATTTTAGAGGTCTCAATCAAGAAACAGCAGGCCCCATTCCTTGGGGCTCAAGGTGAGGCTGAACATAATGGTGGGAGAGTGTGGTGGAGGGAAACAGCTCACATGATAATCAGGAAGGAGAGAGGGAGAGGGAGAGGGAGAGGGACTCTACTCTCCAGATATAAAATGTATACTCCACAGCCACGCCCCTAATGAACCAAATTCCTCCAGCCACACCCCACCTGCCTCCAGTCATCAGTTATTCCCATTAGGCATTAATTCGATGATTAGGTTAAGGCTATAACCCAATCATTTCTCCTCCAAACTTTCTTGCATTGTCTCACAAATGAGCTTTTGGGTCTATAGTAGTGTTCTGGTCTATAGTAGTGTTCCATTCTAAAGTTTCTTTGTTGATTCAAACCACAACAGTGCATAAAAAGGCTACTAGGTTTTATATGTTGATTTTGTACTCTGCAACATCACTGAATTAATTTATCACTTCTAACAGTTTTCTGGTGGAGTCTTTAG